GAAGAGACAACAATGCTGTTTTTCCAGGTTTTCCTTTACCTCTGTCTCCTTCCATGCAGCTCCAGGACAAGTTTGGCTGGGATGCCTTTAAGAAGGTGTTTGCTGCCTACCACGAGATGACCAACATTCCAAAGGACAACAGTGGAAAGATGAACCTGTATGCTGTGACTTTCTCCCAGACTGTGGGGATGAATCTGTCTGCATTCTTTAAAGCCTGGGGCTGGCCCATAGAAACAGCTACTGAGGAGAAGCTCTCCAATCTGCCTCCCTGGAGTGACAACCCCATGGTCCAGTACGACTGAACTTCTGCTGATTAATAGTGCAGATCGATGGGTTCAATGAGGACCAAATTCTTGATATTGAGTATTGAGTATTTAGTGGGTATTTTAATTCACTGCTCTTTCGTTCTTATTTTGTTGTTGTATTTAACCATATGTATTGCAATATTTCAAAAAAGAAACTGGTGTTTCATAGTTTACCATTGAGCTTTTAAATTCAGTAGCTCCATTTGAAAATAAGTTTTCACTCTATCAATGAATATGATCCTCTTAGAGGGGGGAATGCAGTAAGAAACTGGTCAGTCCTCAAGGAAGGTCATTAATCAGACACTATATTTATCAGGATGATAGGATTTGTCATGAAGATTGGTTTGTACCTCTGCACTTGTTTTATTTGGTAATGCAGAATTAATCCCAGGGCAGTTAGTGCCACATTGCGCAAGCTGTTTGCATGCAGCTACATGTTAGTAAGATAGTTAATATAACAGCATCAGTATAACACATCCAGAGCTAGGAGCTGAATCTTTCACTATGTTTGTGTTAATGTTAATTTGCCTTCATTGTCACTGGAAAAGACTAACTATAAAGCAAGGAATCTGACTTTCCTTCTCTGTGTGTGTCCTTCCCATATCTCGAGAAGCCCATCTGATCCCCACACTCGGTGGATGACCCCATGGAGCGCTTTGCCGAATTTGTTGCAGTGTGGACTCGTGTCAAGTTATATATTTATGAGCTTTGAGTAAACAAGCACAAGCTCGTAGACGGCACTTCTGGTGCTGGAGGCTGGACGCAGCCTGCTAACGCTACATGAATGCTGGATAACGTTACAAGCAAACTCTTCTTCACCTCCCTTGAGTCAACGAGTGGATATCCTACAGGAACAGCGTTGTTCGCGTTGCAACTGAAATGATGTACGTTTTTGCCACTTATAACTTCAACTACACCTCCACTCATTAAATCCATGCTCCACTTTACCCCACGTGGTTAGCAAGCAATTAGTACGCCTGTTTGGAAATTATCCCCACTAAGTGCATTTCACCGATGTTTATGACTGCAAGTAACCCCGACCTGGGTTCTTCAGGGCCATTTTAGTTATTTTAGGGCACCAGGCAAACTGTCTTGCTTTATCCCCCTTTCTCTAACTGGGATTTTTGTTATTGGCAGTGGTAGATTAGTACTTAAAATCTTTCTTAAGTAAAATTATTAACTATTGAGAGTAAAAGTCCTTCATTTAAATTGTTGGACTCTCGAACAGATCCAGAAACATGTCTCTGTCAAGTATATGTAGTTCTACGATGTTTTTATTTAAACAGTAAGTCATATTTAGCTGAATTGCATATTTTTAAAATTTGCTTCTGGGGCCTTTTGTAAGTTATTTTGAAGTAGAATGAGTTTGAATAGTACCATAATTCAATACTTTTCATATCGAAACATCCTAATTAATCTATAGCTGTTTGGAGCACTTTTAGTTGACGACTCCAACAGTTATGTTGGCCCCTGGTGATTTTTCCTGTGAACCAGAGTGCATCTCTCTGGTGTTTCTGACTTTGGTGTGTGATGCAACTATTCATGGCTGGTGTATTTGGCCCGGTCTGCACGAGTAGTCTACAAATATACATTCCCTCCACCCTTTAAGTGCCCTGCAGTATATACGGTATATATATATAGTACATATTTTGATATTCATATTGCTTTGATGTTGTTGCTGGGGCAACAGCTCAGGTCCCCGTTTTCTTCATTGCAACAGGAAATACATTTAGAATATTTACGTTTGTCGTATTTGTAAAAGATCTACAGGACTGTTTGTCTTGAAGGTTGATCTGAAGCCGGGCACTTATTTTATTTGATAATGCAGAATTAATCCCTGTGCTACTGTCGACAATTTAATGCCACATTACACAAGTTATTTGCATGCAGCCACATGTTATCCCTGTACTGCACAACGCTGTCCTCAGGAAACAGATAACCTTCTTTATCACTCCCCCCTACATATTTGTTTTTCATTCCTACACGTGACAATGTGTTATAGCATGTTTGAAAACATTTCAATGAGGAATGTAGGTAGACAAGTGAAGTGTTCTGAGTGGAAGGTAAGATACATTTCACTCTTTTGCATGTTTGAACAGAGGTCAATTGACAATAAAAACGTACATTTTCCCTCACTTTCCTTTTTCACAATAAGAAACAGACAAATCAGGAAATCAACATACACCTATGGTCAAATTCAACAACAAAGATATTTTGCGATGAGGTCAGGATGACACGACAATAAGTCAGATATGAAATCTTTGATAAGATAACACTTGTTATTTGGGTTTGGTGAGTTTGGATGACGCTGCCGGCATATGTTCAGGGTTAAGTTATATCTAGAAGAACAACATGATAAATTGCCATAACAGTCATCACTTTCTTATTGAGTGTTGCTGCTTTCATAATTAAACTATCAAGAATAAAAAGATGTATATTTCTGTGAACTTTTAAAGAAGCTGCACTGTGGTGTAGTGGCTAGTGGTCCTTCTGTGTGGAGTTTGCACATTCTCTACGTAGCACAATATGTTGCAATATAATGACTAAAACTGTGCTTACTGCACAATACAAATGTTCTGAGCAAAGACACCTAATTTATTCAAACTTTTTTTATTTGGTAATGCAGAATTAATCCCTGTGCTACTGTCGATAATTCATGCCAATTCACACAAGTTATTTGCATGCAGCAACATGTTATCCCTGTACTGCACACCGTTGTTCTCAGGAAACAGATAACCTTCTTCATCACTCTCACCCATGTGATGTGTTATAACATCTCTGTAATCATTACAATGAGGTGCAGGAGCAGGTTTGATGAATCAAGTTGGGGAGGGATATACTTTCAGGTATAGACAAGTGAGGTATTGTGAGTGGAAGGTAAGATAAAGTTCACTCTTTTGCCTTTTGACCAGATAAGGAGCTAACACCAATAATACACTGTTTTGGATCCATTACCATTTTAACACCAATGGGTATGGAGTTATTGCCAGTTGACTAGAGAGTACAGGCTACAGTTATGAATGTTGAAAGGAGCACCTGTCACGAAGCGGATGGCGGTTTTGGTAGATTACATCTAGTTTATTGATATGACTTTTGGAGGCGGACTTGTAGATTATGTCACCATAGTCTAAGATGGGAAGGACTGTCAGAGGGTATAAAAGAGGCTTTGCTACGGTACAGGTAACCAATTCTTGATCTGACTTTGGAAAGCAGTGAGTTCATGTGCATGTTAGCGGTGAGCGAACTGTCTAGCCAGATACCCAGGTACTAATAAGAATCCACAAACTAGAGTTCTGATCCATCCAGGGAGCAGTTTGAGGTAAGTGTTTGTTGAAAACTATAAATTTTGTTTTGGTCGTGATTGAATTTCACTCTTTTGCATGTTTGAATAGAGATAACTTGACAATTAAAACACGTACATTTGTGTGAACCTTTAAAGAAACATACTTGATAGGTGTTTTAGAACAAATAAATGGTTTCCTCATTGGAGAATAAATAAATAAATGTTTTTTTTCGTCGTTACCTACTTCATCACGTCATCACTTTCTTATTGAGTTTTGCTGATTTTATAATGAAAGAAGCATATTTGATAGGTGTTTTAGAACAAATAAATGGTTTCCTCGTCGTTGCCCGCAGTCAGGTTTCTTTTAATAATAATAATAATACATTTTATTTATATAGCACTTAAAAAGGCACTCAAAGACACTTTACATGGTAAAAACAGAAACAATAAAGGCATTTATAATAACAGTAAGAAAGAAAAAAAAAAGAAAAAATAGTAGTATTCGGCTCAAATTGAGGACTTGGGATGATGTAATGGGATGTTCTTTAAAATCTGTAAAAATGTAAAACAAAGGGATATTCTATAGACCAAATATGTACAATATGTAACAATATAATGACTAAAGCTGTGCTTGCTGCACAAAACAAATTTACTGAGTAAATACACCTAATTTATTTTAACTTGTTTTATTTGATCATTTGAAAATTAACCTCTGTGCTCATGCAACATCACAGAATTTATTTGCATGCAGCAACATGTTATCCCTACTGCACACCGCTGTCCTAAGGCAACAGATAACCTTCTTTATCACTCTCACCCTACATATACTGTATATTTGTTTTTCATTCCTACACATGACATAATGCAGAATGAATCCCTGTACCACTGTCGACAATTCATGCAACATCACACAAGCTAATTGCAATGCTCGTTCTTTTACCACAGGACAGCCTGACAATCCACCAAGACAACTTATCTCTGACTCAACACTATTCTTCTGCTATTCTGCCATCCACCCTCTTCATCCAAACTTCAGCTCATCGATCCTTCCCACCATGTCCACCCGACCCACTCAGTCCTACAATTCCCTGATGAGAGGCTTTAGGGAGCTGGACATCCGTGGCCCCTGTGTTCCCAGTGAGCTGGTGCTGACTGGAGACCACGCTTTTCCTTTAGCAATGAACAGCAAAGGCCAGGTCCTGATGGCAGCCTCTCTGTATGGCCATGGGAGGATTGTGGTCCTGGGTCATGAGAGCTACCTGACCGCCTTTCCTGCTCTGGTAGAAAATGCTCTGACTTGGCTGAGAGGAGATGGATCTAACAACCTGTCTGTGGGGGTCCACAACCACATCAAGGGAGTCGCTGATAACCTCAGCAAATCCAGCTTCCAAGCCACAGTTGTTGGGGCCTTTAGTGACAACCGGAAGGTTGGTGTGTACGTGACGGACGCCTACAGCGTTGGTGCAGACGTGAAGGACCTGGTGGCTTTTCTGAAAACTGGAGGAGGAGTGCTGATAGGAGGGCAGGCGTGGAGCTGGGATCAACAACACCCTAAGGAGAACACAACTCTACATTTTCCAGGGAATAAAGTGTCCGCTGTGGCTGGGATCTACTTCACTACGCATTATGGGAAGGCAGAGATCCTGCCTGTCCACCCACAGATCCCATCCTCCTGGATGGCTTTACGGTAAGTGTATACTCCTCTTCTATTTCAAATGTGGGAATTTTCTGTTTTTTTAAAATCTGTTCCATGTGTGACCTTCATCATTAATACCAAATTATACAGTTTGATCAATGAAGCAATTTACTTCGTTGTTTTGTCTAATGAGCGGGTTGTAATATTCCAACCCTTAATCCACGGCAGGAGCATAATACGACACATTTCATTTATTATACATAACTTTTGTAGGTTTACTTACTTAAGAACATTTTATAAGATTTTCTTTGATGAAAGTCTGTTTGACGCATCAAACAAATCTAGATCATCTCACTGACATTTGTTTCAGTGATTAGACTATTTCATTGAGTATTTATTTTGTCATATGTTGCTTCTCAATGTTGTATAACTTTTAAACTGTTTTAAATTGTTTAATATCTTGTAAAACATTTTGCAACCTTTGCCTTGAAAGGGGTTTATAAATAAAGTTTATTATTACTGAAAAATGTATGAAAGAATACTGATATAGGGCATGAGGATGATGGATGTTTTCTTCTCTGTGTTTCACTCTCTCCCTCCTGTTTTCCCTCATACAGTGTCGGTAAGGATTTTGCCGATGACCTAGAGTTCTTACTCCGGGGGGTTTCAGAGTTTGACCTCCACGATAATATTTTAGCTTCTGAGGCTCTGGTCCACGGCCCGCTAGCATTCCCCATTGGTACCTCTGAGGATGGGCGGGCATTCCTGGCAGGAACCTACTATGGGAAGGGACGAGTCATCGTGATCACACATGAATCTCCTCTGAAAACAAAGGTGCTGTTTAAATTTCTTTATATGAACAGAAATCATTCTTTGTAAGTTAAATTGAGCACATGGTAAAAACTCTTTCTAACTCTTTTCATTACAGAAACTGGCTTCATTTTGGAACAATACCATCGGTTGGCTGGACCAAGGCCGGAAGGGGGTGGTTGGTGTTAAGCCAAAGCTCAAACTTCTCAGCGAGTCAGGGTTAAAGTATGAGGAGACTGAGTTAAGGAAAGACCTGAGTGTATTCGTTTGTACAGCGTACAGCGACGATCGTGTGAAGGAAATCCAAGACTTTGTGGCAGAGGGAGGAGGTCTGCTGATTGGTGGACATGCCTGGTACTGGGCACAGACTCACCCTGGGCAAAACCCGATGACAGATTTCTCAGGTATGATAATGCACCACTAAAGTTTTATTCTGTGGTTCCCATTGATGATATAGGATTGCTCAGCATCTCCATGTGATATCGTACTGGACTGACACTTATCAGGCACATGTAAATTCAGCCCCACATAATGATTTCCATAGTGCTAAATACTATTATTTTCAGTGTCAACGTACAGCAGAAATGACAGTGGTGGGGTTCAAAATGGAGAAAGTGAGAAAGTGAGAAAGTCAGTCAGGCGTCGGAGAACACCAATGACACCGTGAGGGCAAGTTGGGAATGACAGAACAAGCAAGGGAGCACACACACACATAAACACACATATATGAGACCATAGAAACAAGCACAAAGACCAAAGAGTGGTCCAGACACTGAGACCTGACCCAAGACCCAAATTGCATCTGTCTGTCAATATGTCCAATATCTGAGTTGATCAGAACAGATCTGATTTACTTTTAGGAATTTGATTCACAGCAACTCATTCGTTCATTGATAGCACATCATGCTGTCGCCAGTGTAGCTGTTCCCCAGGGTCTGTTTTTTTGGATTGGGTCGAATTATCTTCGGGTTTATTCGGATCAGGTCTGTGTAAGTACGTAGGTAGTTTTCCATAGGGGCTATCTGGGACTGGAAACATTTTGGACCCATAAAGATCTCTGCTCTTCGACACCTCAACTCTAACCCTAAGCCTAAGTGATTATTGTGGTTCCTTATCAACAGGCTACTGCTTTATACCGTACATATAACACACCTTCATCAAAAATAGAAGAGTATAGACATAAGAGCACTTAGACACCACCTAGGCTATTGTGCAGTTTTTGAAATGTTGGGGGACCGGTAGATCAGGTGATATTTGTTTTAACTGTGTTTCAGGAAACAAGATCCTGAACAAAATGGGCTTGAGCCTGTTGCCGGCAACCATCAGTGAAAGCTCCTACAAGGTCCCTGTGCCTACAGAGGCCAAGAAAGACACTGACCACTTCCTCTCTCTTCTACGTCTCTTTGCTGGTCATGTTACCCAGGGGGAAAAACTTGGCAAGCACGAGGAGGAACATCTTAAGAAACTGGGCGTGGATTGCACCAACTACTTGAGAATGAAGGCTTATGATAGCAGCTCCTACACACAGGTGTTGTCCATCCTTACTGATATATTGAAGTCTAAAGGCATGCCACAGGTGGGTCATGAATGACTTTTGAGGCTATGATTGAATATATGTAGTGTTATGAATTACAAAAGAAAAATGGTGATTGTTCTTGGTTGTTATGGTGACAAACACGTCAATGGGGCTGTAAAGTGTTGTTGCAGCTCGCCGGGACGGATGGCTAGTAAGCGGGAAAGTGGCCAGAGTAGCATGGTGGAATTTGGATGCTAGCTAACTAGCCAGCTATCTGCTAGCTAGCTAGCTAGCTAGTTTGCTAATTCCTAGATACTTAAATGCTACACTGGTTACAGAAAATGAGCCGGACAAAGTTGTCAGTCAACTGCTCGTTTTACTCGTTACTGCAAAATCTCACCTCTGTGAGTCTGCGACTTGCTGTGAGTATGTTTAGTTTGTACGGAAGTTAGCAAGCTACATACGCTACCTATCAACTCTACACTAGAATCCCATTGTTCCCACTGACACTAACATTATTTGGTGATGGTCTGAATTCACAGCCTCCACCTCCCAGTACAATAAATCTGGGCATGCCAGTCTGTCTTCCATTAGCATCCACACTCCTGTCTCCCTTATATTCAGCCTCAAACAAACACAGCCTCTCCCGCCTAATTTCAAAGTACTCAGATATGAATTTAGAGAGCCGTTGCGAGCAATCAAAATGCTCCCAATCTCAGATCTTGCACCTGTAAACATACTGTACTTTTCACATTCAAATTTTATTTTGCAATTTTACTACGAATGCCCTTTGTTATCATCACTAAGCTAGGCCTATTCATTCATATTGTTGCCCTCACTGGAAACCTGTTGGCTATCAACCAATCAGGTTGTGTTGCAGGGATCCGTTTTAAGATTATTCATGTTCACTTTATTTCAAGGTGAGTGAGAAGAACCCTGTCAAGACACCCAAAGACCATCTACTTCTCAGATTAGGGGCAGCGGTATATAATGTGTCCCAAGATCCTGATGCCCTTCTGCCCTTCCTCATCAAGCCTTTGATACCAACAGTGGGAAACCAAAGGATCATGATTAATGCTAACACAGCAGGTCAGAACTCACTGTTGTGAATAAATGTGTTAAATGATTGTGAGATCAAAATGCCGACCTGTAATTTGTCTCTGTACAATTTAATATGTTGCAGTAGTGTGTGTGTGTGTGTGTGTGTGGATTGCATTCACATGAAGGCCGCTAAATTTCTCTTGTGACTTACATGGACCTTTTTGCTAATCTTTATTTGTGCCAGGAGAGGCGACGTGGATCAGTACAGGCCTGTACCTCTTTCCTGGTGTGAAGACCGAGATGATCATACCAGCAAACATGGTCAACAAGAGCTGGACGGTACGGTACACAGAATTGAATACTGCACTTGTTGTGTTTGTCAATATTCTGTTAATTTATACCTCTAAGTCAGGTCTGTTTTGTCAATAAAGCCCCAAATCAGAAACATATCTTGTACATTTCACCTCTATTAATATCATTTTATGCCTCAATTTATTCATGCTATTCTGGCTTGTTTTATAACCATTGACTTACATGCATCTCCTAAAAAAATCTAACTTTTCTTGCTCTTTTTCCAAAAGTAACACATATCCATGTCTCCCTCAGATCCAGATCGGTTGTCAAACAGATTACCTGGATGCCGAAGAGTTGACGAGAGCACCTCATGTTCATGAGCAATTTCTTGTTACCTCAGAGAAGATGCAGGTGTGGAACCTGTGGGGGGGACTCATCTACCTGGTGGCTCCACCCAACACAAAGGTGGAGGGGGAAGAGGTCATAGTGCAGATGGCTGTACCTGCTCCTTATTACAAGTCAGGTGAGTGTGTGTCACTGTCTGTTCATGCTCCACAAAGGACTGTGAGGTGCTTTCAACACATCATGTTTTATTATTTGATTAAGTTATGTAAGTTTGATTTCATTAAATTTGTATTTAAACATTAATCAACATTCAAATAAATGTTTTTTTAGAACATTATACAACAAAACGAAAGTTAGGTTTAGGTAACAAAACCGTCACAGACGCGGTGCCGAGAGCCCAAGTCCTGTGTTTGTTTGTTGGACCCATCAACCTCCACTTCTGCCACCGTATGTGGTCTTTCTTGATATTTAATACAACTACACGTTATCTCCAATAACCTAATAAACAAAACTCCACTACTTTACCTTCTTTTATGAGTATGTTGTATTCATGAAACCCATTTAGTAAAAGAAGCAATGCTTTCTTTGAAACATGCCGTTGTTGGCATGAGGACGTCATGCTGTATTTACAGTCTGCCTACAATGGGGCTTTTGAAAAATAGTCACAATAATTCAAAGCTTTGTTTTCATTTCACTCCAACCTCGACCCTTTGTTTGTTTCAGGCCTGACGACAGCAGCTGATTGGTTGTTGCTGCGCAAATCTCCTTCACCGTGGGCAGAGCTGGAGTTTGACAACATCATCCTGTCTGTGCCGTCAGACGTTGTTCGAGACCTGGAGAGCCTTGATGAGGTGGAAGCACTTTGGAATGACATCATGAGGGGCGTCGCAGATCTGGCTGTCATACCGCGCAGATTTACCCGCAAAGAACGCATTGTAGCAGATGTGCAGATCTCGGCTGGTAAGTGTGTTTTGCTGTCGCATACAATTCAATCAAAGGATGTCTTCGCAGCATGTACTGCAAAAAAAGTATGGTGTTTGCATTATTTAAATTCTTAAAACTTTAGAAATGATTACAATTTAAAGAAAAAGCTTCTTCTGTCTTAGTCCCAGATCTACGGTGGTCGAGTAGTGTCATACGAAAGCGAGGGCCACAACGCAACACAAGTTGGCAACAACAAATGTTGACTACTGACTGATATTGCCGGCAGACTATTATTCGGTGTGTTCGGGATGAGCCAGGCCTGCGCAGAATCATTGATCATTGCACAATACATACTGATTAGATTTGTGTCGGACTTGATCCAGACTCTGATGTCATGCACACGTGGGCAACGATAACCTCATGAGATCATGGGCCACAGTTTTTAGAGCCAGGCGCCGCAGCTGTTTTTGATTGCTCTATATTGTATTAGGTACCATGTGTGTTATATTGTGTTGTGTGATTTGGACAAGCCCCACATAAATGCATTGATAATCTACTGTAGATACAACTATTTTAATGCTATTGTACAGTATAATATAGTTCATACCATATATTGAACATATATTGACAAGTTTTGTAAAAAGGCATTTGTTAGGCTGATGTTAATGATGAGCTAATGTAACTTGTGCTCACTTGAGCTCATCAGTTCACAAATGGCAACTTCTCTCCAGTGTTGCCGGATCAGATTGACAGTGTCCCACCAAATCACAACCTAAAACCTGCCGAATTCATTAATAAACAGCCAAAATCATTACCTTGCCAGAAACCTTTGTAAAACCATTACATTCACAATAAAGATACACATCATACACACACAAAGCATCATATCTGTGTCAAATAGCCAATTAAAGATAAGAGGATTAGATCAAATAAGCTATCACAACCCACAAAGAGTGCAGTCACACAACCAAGTACACAATATCACACGTCAATGTCAATGATGATGATTACAAGATCAGTAAGTCCTCCCTTCATCCTAACGATATTTAAATGCAACTCATGTCAATCAAATATCTAGTAATTTAATATTAACACGAGTTGACTGAATTTTGTATCTGTGTTTGCTTGGTAATGTTGTTGTCACAATATTTTCAAAAACCCTGCCAATTGTCGACCAAAAGCAGCCCATATTTCATCGACCTGCCCGATGCTATGTTTCCCAGGTCAAAAGTAATCAAAAGTAACCAAATAGGGCAGAAACCAGCTCTTCGTACGACTCTGGAGACCATGTCCCGAAGACATCTCTGTTAATACGCATTGCTATTGAATAGTCAAACACATGTTTGTGTTACTGACGTCTCTCCGTCCAGGTTGGATGCACTCAGGGTATCCTGTCATGATGAACTCATCTATAGCAGCTGAGCTGGTCAGACCAGGTGACGCCAGGACCAAAGGCCTGTGGGGAGAAATTCATGAACTGGGACACAACCAACAGAGAAGCTGCTGGGAGTTCCAACCACACACCACAGAGTGCACATGCAACCTGTGGTCAGTGTATGTGCATGAGGAGGTGCTGGGGATCAACAGGGCAAAGGTGGAGTAAAACACTTTTATCTTGGATGACACACATTTTATTTGTTTTTTCTGTGATCACATTTTCATCACTGGACATCTCAGTCCAGTAATTTCCCCTTGGTTAACATCATAATATTATGATTTGTTCAATGCAGGCTCATCCATCTCTGACCTTAAAAAATCGGAAGAATTCTGTTGACGTGTATGTTAAAGGGGGCAAGAAGCTCAGCGACTGGAAAGTGTGGGTGGCCCTGGAGACATACTTGCAGGTGAAGGAGAATTACTGTGTTTTAAATTCTGTAAAGAAGATATGCTTGGGTCACACAGGAGTCCCCATATATCCAGCATCAAAACCCGGGAAATGCAAGTAAGGCTTTAAATCTATAGTCACGCCGCTGCCCCTATGAGGCTGTAGATGGAATAGAAAATAAAAAAATTTTGGTGAGTAATGGGGAGATCATTTTGGGTTAAAAAAAATGCAAGTTTGGTCTGATAACTTCACCAATTCTAAGCGGTTTACCCTCTGTACTCTGCACAATACTCCTCAGCGTTACCTGCACATCATCACGCTCAGGTGACCTTAATCAGTTCTTGGTTTAATGCGTCAGCTTCAGCTGCACTTTGTCGGCCTGAGCAGTTGTTAGTTTTATGGCTGAGTTTAGTTGCGTATGAGATATTGTTTAACTTCTTTGCGTGTGCATGTCAGTATGCTTAAAGTACAGCTGAACGCACAATCCTGTCATATGGGAGTTACCTTACAGTCTCCAACTTGTAAACACTTCATGTCAACGTTTAGATTTTAGTGATAACTGGTAAACTGATTTAACCAACTTGATGCTTCATAAAGTGAAAGTTCCTTTGGTGTTCCTTTCTCATCTCCAGATGAATTGTTCTTCCTTAAATCTTGGGTGGATAGAGTGCTGCACGTTGACAAGCCATAATTATAATTTAGTTATTATTCATACAAGTTATAACTCATCCTCTGGGGGTTCATGAATGTCTTTGTATTTCCCTCTGAACTACAGTGATGGATTGATGGACTGAGTGACATTACAGCCCCGTTGTCGTGCGGCTAAAATAGCCTCTTAGCACTTCACTGCAGTTCATTTGTTAACTCGCTCATAAACTTTCATTCTGCCACCAACCCACTGTGTTTTCCCTCAACCTCTGTCTCCTTCCATGCAGCTCCAGGCACAGTTTGGCTGGGATGCCTTTAAGAAGGTGTTTGCTGCCTACCACGAGATGACCAACATTCCCAGTGACAACGACGGAAAGATGAACCTGTATGCTGTGACTTTCTCCCAGACTGTGGGGAGGAACCTGTCTGCATTCTTTAAGGCCTGGGGCTGGCCCATAGAAACAGCTACTGAGGAGAAGCTCTGCAAGCTTTATCCCTGGAAGGACCACCCCATGGCCGAATATGACTAAACTTCAGACTGCAGCTGATTAAAATTGCAGAGAGGTGGGTGGTGGTTTGTCATTGGAAATACATTTCTATAACTGGGCTTATTTTTTATTATTGTCTGAGTTTTTGCGCAAAAAAATAGTAATACTCCTTATAACCAACTAAAAAGATTGACATTACAGGTCTAGGTCTGTTCATGTAGGCTCTACAAATGGTGATTCCCTTAGAACGTGCAGCTAAAATCAGTATAATACTGCTGGTTGGGCTGTAAAATCAGCTGAAACACTCACAGCAGAGTTGTTCCCTGTGGGTTCATCACTATGATCGACTCCCTTCACATTCCACACATTGTAAATATATTAATGTTGCTTAAAGCAACTATAAATGTTTTTCAGAAACCATAATAACATCAGGAGAAGCATAAGTAAAAAGGCATATTCTAATTGAAAAGTACAACTTCTTTCAGAGTCATATTACTTTTAATAGTTTTACAGATACTTGGATGTTTCTTTTGTGATTCAGTAAGTTCTTTCATTGATCATTTGCTCTCAAGGTGTTTAAAGTTACTCTATTTATACTTAAACATCAATTCCTGTAATTGCTTCTTGGGTTCTTGGGTGTTTTTTCATATATTAAACCTGAAGGGTTGGTTCATCTTTTTGACAAGACAAGAACATAATTTCTGTCATTCATTTAATCAAACAATATATTCATGTAAATGGCAGTTAGTGATTCAGGCTGTGTTCCTAAGACAGACACTTGCTATGTTTCTCCTTTGCTGTCAATAAAAAAGACAAATAAACAGTCATTGTTTCCCTCTATTTATTTGTATTCATCTAGTCGTGGTTGAATGAGAAGAATAATAAGGGATGTATTAGTCTTAAAGCTGTTCAATGTTAGCATGCACCATAGCGGTAACAGTTGAAATATTTGTTTCCGTCATCCCTTTATTATTATTGTAAATTATTGTAAATTTTTAATAAAGGGTTATATTATCTTATCTCTCACGCCCTGCAGTTGTTGTAAAACAGCTCCCCTACTGGCTGATTGGAGAACTGCTGGAGGAATTCTCCCAGTTCATCCAGTGAGAGCTTCTCCACCCAGTTGTCCTCCGTGTTCCTCGCCGTGGCAGCGCCACTCTGAACGGGTCTGCCGTTGTTGTCCACGCAGCAGTAGGCGTTCCACAGGTAGTCTGGGATGTTGACGCGCTTCACATTGTTCTTCACAATCCAGTTGTCTGCAGAGGGAACGGAACCAACCAGCACGAAGGCCTTGGAGCACCTGTCCCGGAAAAGTTCAGCGAGCTTGGACTCGTGGATCCTCCAGGCGTTCTGGTTCAGTTTGGGGTTCTGAGGAACCACGTTGGTGAGGGTGAAAGTGGCATTGCGGGTCGGGACTGTAGGAGAGAGGAGTGGAGGATTACAGGAAGTTACGCAAGAAATGAAGTTACAGCTTGTGGTTCCAAATAAATAAAGTTATGTATTGTAAAGGTGGCTTGATAGCATGCAGAGGAAGAGAGAGAAAGACCAAGATGTGTCTGGTAGCTTCATTATTGTTATTCTACCAGGTTTAAAATTTCACCCAAATTGTTCTCTAAACTTGTTAAATTATAAACCAAGGCTACAGCAGCTGCAATCTTGAGGATAATGGTTGTTTTGTACCTATTATAATATTAATCAGATATCCGCTAATATTTGAACAATAATTAATCTTATAGTAGTTGTAATAATAATAATAATAATAGTAATAGTAATAATAATGTGCTTTTTTTCGATTACACATAACAAATAATAGATACAAATAAGGGATTAAATTAACTGAAAAAAAATACAAACATATTTTCAGAGATATTTTCTTGTGATAACAAGCCTGAGATCATAAAATATTTAGAGGATGCAGATGAAGGAATAATTTCATGTCAAACATTAATTTCATGATCACAAGTAAATAAAAAATGGGAAATACTTATAAGCAATTCCCTGAATGCAATTCTTAATCTCTATGTAAAACATATGAATATAAGTGTAAAACAGACTTGGCAATTAGTAGTTAAGTATTTGCAAATACCCTCTGTTATTAACTGCATGATTTAACACTGAGATAAGAATCCAGATCTGTATCTGCCTGCAGCCTCCCAGTGCTGCCTTAAGGTTGCTATGATAACGGACACCAATTTAGGAAATCATAGACACCGGAAAGTAATTTAACCTTCCGTGATTCAGTGTAATGTATTGATGCACAGTTTGGATACAGAAGGCTATTATTCCTTCATTCTATTGTATCACAGCCAAAAATGAAAAGTGAAATCTGAGTGAAAACAACATTCAATATCAAGTAAGTGAACTTCGACAGTAAGGAATATCAACTACAGATGCTGCCATTGGAATCATCACTGTAAAAACTTCGTACAGTTTCAACTATTATTGACTGGATTATAATTTGGTGGATATGTTGTGTGGGCATCGTACATTTTCTCTCTTAATATCACTTAATAAACAACAAACTAACTTGAAGTTACTACAACAAACTTTCCTTTTGTGTTGACTTTGGCGGTCCCTCTGGACAAAAGTGGTAGTGTTTCCGAGCACCAGCGTCCCTTTAGACAACCTCTCATCGTGCTGCAGCAGGGTCTGAAAGTCTACCCCTCAGTCCTGGTTGTGGTTCTCCCGTGCCTCCCTTTTCTCCAGCGGGCCCAGCAATAGCCTGGGCCTCCAGCAGTGTGGTGTTGGCGCCCGGCAGCTGAAGCCGGGCGCTGAGCTCTCCTCCCCTCACTTTAAGCCTGGTGGGCTGGTCACTGCTGGAGGCCCCGCTGGAATCTTTGCAGAAGAAGTTTCTCTGATGAAAAGCATTAAAAATAACTATAGAAATAACCAATCTTCTCACTGATGGTCTGGTTTACTTATAGGTCAAGAAGAGGCATCACTACTTAATCTAGCTAGTCTCATCCAGTGTTGATAGCTATACCTACACAAAATAAGGCGTCATAATTCATAGATACCCCACGAAATAATTTAGTATGTTACCACGTAAGTATAAAGAGGTGGATGGGTCCAACAACCAGCGACAGTTCATCCAGCAGACTGCTGTTTATTCCCCATGTGAAACAAGATGTCAATTATTTGTCACGTAACTTGCGTACTTCAGTAACACACTTCCGTGGTTGTTTTAACCCAGATTACAATCTTTTTCTAAACCTAACCAAGAAGTTTTGTTGCGTAAACTAAACTGTTTCTATTGTTTCTGTGCAGAGAGAAGTTTATTTTGAAAAGACTGTAGGCATGTAGCGAATGTAAATTGATGCGTGTTGCTGGACTTTCTTTGGAAAACGCACAAAAAATGAGTAACTTTTCGTAAGATATCATACAAACCGCCGTATGAGGATTTTGGTTTCATAGTTAAAAGTTCCTCACAGGAACATTAAATGACAAGTATGTGAATTTGTGTGAATGCCACTAGACAAAATAAAAGAAGTAATCATTTCATTGTAGAGCATTGATTTAAAGCAATAATCAAACACTCGTATCAGAGGTTTCAATCCAGCACGTCAGGCGGGGGGGATGTTGAACTCAACTGACATCTTTGCCCCCAAAAATCACCCATGTTCAACCTCCATTACCTGCATGGTGTCCATTGGGGTTGAGGTGACCACGGTCGAAGCCAGAGTGTGTGTAATCCTCATTCAGGGCCTGTTTCTCTCCTTGGTAGACCCCAGGGTGGTCCTTCCCCAGCCAGTAGCCGTCCTTCATCTCTGCTTGCCAGGACGTGTTTACCAGCTGCAAGGCAATAACCCCTCAGATTTAAATGTACGTGTACACGGGGTGTCACTGTGACTCATATGGTATCATATACTGAAAGATATTAATGCATTACGGTTGATTCATGTTGAATATAACATTGTAAAATTACAGTAAATTACTGGCAGCAGCTTTGCCATTACGCTTCTGCACAATACAGTATCTCTACTGTATCAAACGAATACAGCAGCTTACTGTAGTTACAGTTATTTGGTGTAATTCAAAAGACAGTATTTTCCTGGCAGCAGTTATTGTAATCAAAATGTGCAGTAATTTGGCAGCTGTACGCAATACATTACTGTGAAAGAATCACTTGACCGTTTCGATCATGGGAGTAAGATTTATGACTCCCACAATGCATTGCTTTCACATCAATATAAGCATAATACAGCGGGTCACTGTTGGTATTTCACTGTACATTTGTGTTACAATCAGTGCTCTATTACTGTATGACACTGTTCTCTCCATACTTGATATCTATGACACATTCTGATGATTTTGTCCACATCAATGCCGTTGATGCACATATACAATACACACGAACCTGAGGCTCTACAAACCACCTTTTCTCCCTGCCTCCTCCATTGCTGGGCTGGAAGTGATAGGCAGCGTAGACAGCAATACGATGGTTAGTGTCATACAGCGTGGCAAAGTGGTACCTGGTGGAGCAAAGGTTTAGTTTAATGATCCAGGTATCTAGAAAAAAATGAGGTGCTGCAAAACAATAGTCAGATTTTCTAATCTACATCTAAGTGCACTTGTGAAGTTCACATTATAATGCCGTATATAAACTAAAGTATAGAGGTCTGATTTCTTTCCCTACCTGTTGCTGAAGCGATGACAGAGACGGGCAGCACCGGGGGTAGAAGCCCCCCACTCTGGCACCTTCTCTTTATAGAAGTAACTCATGCATTCTGGCACATCCTGGAACAAAAACATATATATATCAAAAAAAAACACAGGCTTCTAAGTGAGCCACTTGTGCAACACACACAGATTTGATTTTTTTAAGTTTTTGAGTGAACTGGAATAAGGTCACGAACCTCAAAACGCTCCACAACATCTGCATGAACAGAGAAGAGGAGCGAGAGAAGAGCGCACAAAGTTACCAAAGTTTGCATCCTGGACCAAACCTTTGGTATCAGGGATTCTTGACCGTCCTACAGAGTTGAATCAAATACAACAGAATACGTTTTTTTATTTAACATTGCAGCGTATGGTATATAATGTAGGTCTACTTAGACAGTTTGTTTGTGCTCTTTGTGTTTGTATTTCAACTCACCTGCTGGTGCACCTGTCCGCCGTCACAGTCCGCTCTGAGCAGAAACTGGCTTTTATGTGTGACTTCTCCTCACCTTTCACCCCGTTTGTCCTCTGCTTTTATCTGAACTCCTGCTAACACGTGATGCTTGTGTGCCCAGGAACCAGAATTTGGCCAACGCATAAGGTGTTGGTGTGGATGAACGAGAGTGTGTAGAAAAAAGGAACAATATTAGCGCTGCTGTGAATCCCAGTGGAATTTGTGAAAGGTGGGAGATGACGTGTGTATGTAAAGAGGACATTTCATGTGTTACTACCATGACAACATTTCATGTCATCCAAGTGTACTTTTGCTTTTGGTATTTTAAGTGTATTTTGAATGCAGGACTTTTACTTGTTACAAATAATTTCTAACCTGTAATGCTACTTTTGATCCGAGTACTTCTTTCACAACAGATTTTAAAGCCTTCAGTGTAAGTCATGTATTGTCTAATACTGTATGAAATCAATACACACTGTTTACTTCCTTGGAAACAATATCATTTTTACGGAGTTACTGTAAGAGTTACAGCTTTGTGGTGATGGTGAGGTGAGACTGGAATTTGTGTTCCAGTGCCTTTGACAATAAGTCTCTGACTCTATTAATGAGTTCTGATACCACGAAAACACTCCTGTAATATGATATCAAGTTCACCTCCTGGACTATTGACAACATGTGCATTTTGGCAGATTCACCGACAGTTTCCCACGCCCAGCTTTAGGTTAGGTAACACAAAGATATGTGCTCGTGTGTTGTTTTTCCCACGATCAGAGGAGAGGCTGATTGCAAACCTCACATGTGGACTCCTCCCACTTCTCTAAAGTGCTCTGACTGTGTGAAGATTTTCTATATTTAACCAGCTCCATGCACCCAGAGAGGTCAGGAGGTCGGCTGGAGATGTGCATCTTGCTGTCGCACAACTATTCTCCAGTACACCGTGCTTTATACAACGATTGATTTCGCCCATCGTACCTTCAACAGAGTGGTGTCTGCGGTCGTTTTTGATTTCTGTCACTCTTGCAGCTTATGGATCACACAAAATTAAAATTTACAGGAGAGAGAGGTGTGGGGATGGCTCATGAGAGCAGTGACAGGTGAGTTGATTGGCACAGCGGGCGCTTGTTGACTAATTACATCCTCCTTTAAATGCAGTAGCGTGCTGCACCTCTGATGACTGCCACACAACCACGGACAGACGGCTATACCGGCCCGTCAGATGACTGCCACACAACCACGGACAGACGGCTATACCGGCCCGTCATTTTATTGTTTGCTGAAGCAAGTTAGGAGCTGTGAGCGCTGGGAAAACAGATTTTTAGTTTTGTGTTTGTGTCAGAAGTGTTGGTGAACAGTCGTGCCTGTGTTAAGTGGAGACTTGCTACAACCACAGATACCAAAGAAACATCACAACCAACTTTTCTAAATATTCTCCATCATGTGCTAGTTTTTCATCTTTAGCCATCAATTAGTAAAAAAGTTGAATTTGTTCAATTCAAACCAGCTAATTCTTCACAGGTTCAACCTCATTTTTCAGAACACAGTGTTGTTAAATCCCTTAATATTCATGGCAACCCTACTGATTTCAAACACCCAAATAAATATACTCCACTGGACTAAAATGTCTCTGGGTCAAAGTTCATAGATCGCGCCTTCTTCTTCAGGAAAAACTTCTCTAAATCATCATCTGTCTCAAATTCAATATATTAAAGCGTAGAAAGATGGTTTATGTTGTTTTTGTGATATTTCTTATTTATAGCACTTCATCGAAAGTCAAATTTCCCCTCTGGGACAGTAACTTATCCATCTAGTATCCATCTATTATGTGTATGAAATATGTTATATTCTAAATTACTATCCAAAGGTATATTTATTTACAGCTGAAAAGATTAGTCTAGTGACAGAAATCTAATTGGCGACCATGGCAGTACCCACCATTGAGGTTTACCGAGGTCCGGACCTTTGTATGTTCTGACTAAAAATAACTTTAGTGCGGCAAAGATATTGTACAATGCCAGGCAATCTGTATGTTCAGATTGAAGTGTGGATAAGTCATTGCAACATTTAACCGGATTCTCATTCGTTACTGATGCGACTGCCAACTCCCATGGTTTAAAAGCTATTGTTATCCAATTATTGCTCACCAAACACCTTAAAATGCACATATTAAAAATAAATGAACCCCCCTGGTAAGCTAAATGTTTGGACCTTGGTATTTCTAAAACCCTCTGTTTGGCCATCTTAGCAACTTTTCTGATGATTTATTGATGTTTCATGCAAAATGCCAAAGTTTTCATGTTTCCTGCTTCTCAAATATGAGGATTCGCTGCTTTTCCTTTTAATTATTATAATTCATGTTTAATGATTTTGAGTTGTGGACTATTTGTTTGAGAAAACAAGCATTGTGAAGGTGTCCCTTTGTCTTTCTACATGTTCTTTTCCACACACACATGCTGACAGGTAAATGTTTGTGTCACATGGAAACTCTCTGATTACTTACATGTTCGAAGCCAAACGTGTGTTCAGCTATGAACTGCTGTGTTGTTACATTGTGAGGAAGCCTCTCACTTATGATTATAATTTCCATGTCTGAAAATGGGATAATTGCTGTTTGTTGGGATTTCTGTTTTGGTGCAACATATTCAGAGTGGGCTAATTTGACCCTAACATTGCTCGTCTTTGTTTTTCTTTGCACAAGATTTTTAATAGTTCTGTAAAATGTGGGACTTTATCGTTTAAAGAGGTCAAAACTCCAGCAAAACTAAAGGAGCATAAAGAACAGACTTGTTGAAACTCATCATGCTACACTGCATCTTAGAACAATGTCCCAATATCAGCTTTATTCTTCATGTATGCGTATACATTCAAGGAATCTGACTCCGGTTTTTCTGTCGCTCTCAACGTACACAAATAAACAAAAAACAAGGACAACGAAGTAGAACAAAGGTAAGCGTAAACATTAAACTACAATGTATACATATATAGAGAAAAGTATACATACGAACATAAAACACACCAGCATTGTCAATGAAATGGAGATAATAGTGCGTTATATGAAGACTGATTACTGCTGTTGCATTGCAACAACATGATCCTGCTTTAAATTAGAAGTTGAATTGTCACTCAAACTCTGAACTAGTTTGTGGAGTCTGTGCTGTGGCTGCCCTCTGCCCCTAAACTGTTCAAATGAGTGAAAATCTGACGACGGGTTTCCCTACTGGCATCAATGGATCTTAATTTGATTTATAAAGTCATCGTCAATCCGGAGAAATTGTTTTGGATAAAAAGTGGCCAGCTGAAGGTTGACTAATATTGAACTGGAAGAAAGCCACAGAGGCTGGTTGATGCCAGAGAAAACACAGACAACATTGAGGATAAGATAAAGAGAGTGGAGCTTTATTTAATCAGCCTTGTATTTTCCCATTGCTCTGCTGACATTTATTTTTCACTTGATCAGTGTACATCTCACAGTACATGACTGCAAGACAGTAAGCAGCAGTACACAATGTTGTAACTGTGTTTTCTCAGGGAAATCGCTTTATTACAGTTAAGGGGAATAAAATGAACGTAGTTATTAACGATCTTTCTATTTGCCTCTCTGTCTAAGTGCAGATGTAAACAGTAAACATCTAGAGAGGGAAGAAAATGAAGCAAACTAAGGACTCGGATAATAATAAAACAATTGACAGATTTAAAGAATTTGATTCAAGTCTTTATTAGCAATAATTGAATAAACAAATCACATATAAAATCACAGGAAACAATTACAAGTATTACATTTTGATCTATTTATGTCCTGCAACTTCACTATACTTTTGCATATTTCTTCATTCATTTTCACTTTTCACTTGGATTTAATTATGAATTATTGAATTCCTCCTCTCCCCGTGTCCTATGTGATTGATTGACGGATGTTGTAGGTAAAGCATTACTTTATTTATTTGTATTGGGTAACAGGCAGCTGTTGTTGCTGAAGTCTGCCTCTAGGTTGCAGTGTTGAATTGTGATTTCAAGTTCACCTCTTGAAGTCTGTTTATTCTTTTTTTCTGTCTATTTCATTGCAGATTATTCAAGTGTTCAACCACCTGGAAAACAAAAAGCTCCTTCTGCAAACTGATGGTCCAATCAGTGATAGGCGGCGTTATCAACACTCCAAACAAGTAAATTACAATTTTGTCTCAATAGATGGCTTCACAGCCATAAAACAGCTTCAAAGTGACGACGGTGGCAGATAATCATTAAAGATGACACTCTGAATGACAGGAGAACGTATTAAACCGCCACTATGATGGATTTTAGGGACGTCTGTTATGTTTTTTCTTTTTTTTAAATTATTTGGCCCAGAAGTTAATTTGAGTGGACTGCATCTTTAATTGACTTGACTAGCGCTTTGTCGCTTGAAAAGATCACAGGGAGTTTGGTTCCCCAGACACAGATTTAGTCTAATCCTCGACTCAAAAGCACCCTCAGCCTCTGTCTGTCAACGGGAGCGAATTCAGCGCGGTTCAACGGGAAAACAGTCGGTGGGAGAGACCACAAGACCAGGGGGCAAAAATCAGCCCAGGAAACCACACGCTTCGATTTACATTGATCCTGGTCACTTGATTGATTAGCTGGTTAAACCGTTAATTAACCACTTTGATTGTTAATTGCCTCGGGGCTCTCTGGTTGTATTGATCCTGTGTGGATAGTGAAGATTATTGTTGTTGGGTGAATTTATAAAGGAATCAGCTTTTTAATTTGTCTCTGGATGTAGTGTTATTCACATTAACCCTAATGGTGTGTTTGGGGTCCTGGATCCCTATTTAAACAGCTTAATACTTCATGACCTTTTCCTAATTTTTTATAAAAATTATGTATAAACTTGATTTTGAACAGATATGTTTGAGAAGCCCGTCACAGAAAGTGTTTTACCTCAGCTGGAGAACCTGGTTAAACACAATAAATGTATTGCGCTCTGAAACTCTTGACAGTATGTTAATTGCAGCACTATCCTCCCAAATCTTATATACAGTGCGTCTATTTGAGT